GAGGCGTGCTTCTTCTACCTTAGTTACACTAGCGCTCTTAACTGTCATTAAGCCAACGGCAGTTGACTCAATCGCGATCGGCCGGAGTTATTCGGCGGCGCCAAGTGTCATTAAGCCGCGAACGGTCATAGAGTTATCAACTGAGCTGGCTATTTCTCAGTAATACCCTATTTCACCTCATGCCGTACCGCAGCAAAGGCTACAAGCGCAAGCTCCTTGCTCTGGAGCAGATTAGAGCCACTAAATGAGCTGCGCTTAGAATTTGGGCACTCCGCTACCCGACATTGTTGTGGGCGCCGCCATTTTGGTGCTTGTGCAAAGCAGACGAAACTGCCGACCGTCATGATTCAAAAGTGCGACTTTCTCATCATAAAATTCGGTACTAGGAAGCTCAAGTAATATTGCTTTGCTTTGTCGCGAACTGTTAAAAATTAGTGGAAGTCGGAAAAGCGTTTCCTGTGATTTCAGATAAAGCTTTCGATAACTGGCAACCATGATTTTGAGCCATAATACGGCCAAGTTTCGTTATTCTGAAGCGTAGCTTATTTAGTGGCACATAGGGCAGATCTCGGCGGCACAAGCTCTCGTGCACCAAGTGCAGCTGCCAACGCTATCAGCTCGCGCTTCTAGCCTTCGCTCCGGTACAACATAAGGTGAAACGGAGTATAACTGATAAGGATTCGCCCCAACAGAGCTAAAAATGGCGGCGTCCGCCGCATTGCCGCCCATGGCCAGCGCCAGCGAAGCATTTCCTATGGTGGAAGATTGGGGAAGGTATCTAGAAATTATCGTAGCAGCAAATATTGTAGAAAGAAATATGATTAGTGGCCACAGCTGCCGCGAGAACCATCACTGCATTTCGCGGAAGCCAAAGCTTGGCGAGGGTGGCCATGGGGATGTCTGTGCCGATAAGATTTCATCGTGTTTCTCTCCCTTTATTTCGCTTCAAACGATTCGATCATAGTCTTTTTTTGCTCAAAAAAAGAAAGGCGCTAATTATATTTAGTTTTAAATGTTCTTAAGGAATAAAAACTGTGCATATAATCCATATGCATCACTTAACAAGAAGGTTATGTGGCATCAGTTTTGGTTTTGTTTCGGTTTCAACTGTGTCCCTTGATGCGCACTCAGCTGGGGTTGTTAGGCCTAAGTACCGTGTAACACCGGACAACTCAGTCGAGCTCCATGGTAGTTGGGAGATTTGAACGATCGTTAGCTTAATGGCAGTTAAGAGCTCTAGTGTAACTAAACGATTTCTTGAAGATGGCCCTTTCGTTATTCCAAGGCTCTCTGCTCACAAGTTCGAAGTATGAACCTAAAGTGCTTTGGACGTGCTTGAAGCGTCTCTGCATATAATTCTATCATCATTTCGGCTGCGAACACCGTGTCTTTTGTACTGTGTATGAACAGTGTGGATACGAATTTAAAGTCGGGGTCACACTGCTCATACCTCGTATAAAAAAAGACAGTCCGCAAACACAAGCCACCGCGATAACCGTGGTTCGAATGCCACCTGCTAAACTTTCTTCTTGGACTCAATGCCATGCGGCATTCGAACCAAGGATATCGCGGTCATTGATATTTGCAGACTGTCTTTTTCATGATCTATTAGCGGCGAGATGTTTCGGTGGCGCCCTTGTTCGGTTACCTCTTGTGACGTCATTACCTTGTGAACCAAAAGTTCGATGGTGTTTGTAATGGGCATGGTGGAAGCCTGAAATCATAGCGCTCTCAAAGCAACATGCCAACACCGTCAGAATTGAAGTTCTTACATTCCTCTTATTTCCGTCGATGAGAAATCCTTTGCTGACGTTATTGTCAGCATTCGGCCAATCGTGACAGGCTGACCACAGCGACGCTTTCGTTCGCTCACGTCGCCAATAGGCGGTGTGCCCCAGCTTTAGGGTTTTTGCGATCATTCTCGCATGTACCGTATTTTCCAGGTTACAGTCAGCGGACTATAAATTTTTGAAGGTACAAATTTTATGCGGTGCGGTGGGGGCACTACAGGAATTCTCTATTTCGATATCGTTCGTCATGGCGAGACGTGACAGAATTTGCGATGAAAGTGTATTTAATTATGATTTATGTATAATTCAAGTTTTTCCGTGAGTTAAGAAAGAAGACAGCTCTCAAGGTGTTTCATGTGTAACCAGATTTTTGTGTTGACTAATCAACGGTTCCAGACCATGCACGGAGTGGGGACTATGCACTGATGCGGACGATCTAGCAAAACCTTTTTTTTTTTTCTTTTCCCAAGTTCGTTTTTACGGACAGTATACCGGGTGCCGACATGAGTCCGGAAAATACGGTAATCCCGGTAAAACGTGACGTTACTGTTCGACATGATCCAACGTCACCTGTCGTGACCCTCGTACACACGTGACGTCACGTCACACTGTGAGGTTAGATGACACCGTTACATCACAAGACGGTGTGCCGATGCATCCTAGCGTCACATCATATGCCACCAAGACACCACGTGGCACTTTTACATCACGGAATACCATGAAGCCACGCTGCATTGTGACATCAATTGATACCATGGCATCACTACGTCACGTCCCGATGTCATCTCACGAGCCAGACAAGCAGGGGCAGAGCAAAAACAACCGGAGCAGCGAGGCAAAAAGAAGTCAATCAAATTTGGGGCTTTTACGTGCCAAACCAACGAAGGGCATCTGGCACGCCCCAGCGGAAGAATGAGGATTAATTTTGACCACCTGGATATCTTTTGACATGCAACCGAAAGCTTGGTTACACGGCGCCTTCTCCGCAATAAGCCTCCGTCAGATTGCGAGCACCCCGGCCGGGATTCGAACCCGCCACCATGGCCGGTGCTTTTTCCTCGGAGCCACCGAGCTCTTCGATTGCCTTTAAGATACACAAAAGAGGGAGGCAGTTTTAGTAAGGGCGCAATGAAATTATTAACCTCTAAAGTTGCACTATTAAAGAGCTATTTTACCATTGTCTACTTTTCTTGCTCTAGCTCAACACCCAGACGCGCCAGGAACCTTCCGGAGCGAAACGACATCAGCCGTGCGAGCGCGTCGCGGACTGGGGCCTCTAAGCCTCCGTGTAGCAGCCACACTTCATCCACTCTGGGCCGGTTGCTCCGGCTGTCCAGCGTCACGGCCGAAGAGAGACGGGCAGGGTCAGCAGCCCAGGGCAGGCGGCTGCCTTGGAAACGCCACGGCGGTTGGGACAGGCGGCCGATATTTCACGCGGACAATCGGCGCCAGCGACGCCGCGGGCCTGCTGGGCACAGGCGACAGGATACGCTATCGGAGCCCCACAATGCGGTCTGTCCTCGCTCGGAAGCCCCCCAGGGCTTTCGATATCTTCTCCGCGGAAGACGACGGCACACCCTCGCCCGCCGTGGGGACTGGGCTACCCCGCGGCTTCGGCGGCGACACAAAGAGGAACTTGTTCCTCCGTAGATTGGCGCTGTCGTTTTTTGGGCACGGCTCCTTTCTTACTTTTTTGTCATCCCGTTACCTTCTTCCATAGGTCTTCTACTCTCGTTTTTCGTTTAGCAGGAAGTTTCATTGTACTTCTTTTAGGGGGTGGGGAGCTTTTGCGTTGTCTTGTATCTTGCTTCAGTTCAGGTTTGGTCATAATCTCTTTCCTGTCGCTGTCTCCGGAGTGTATTATGAGGATAAGAATGGGCAGTAAAGGGGCGGTTTAGTGCGGCTGTGAACGCCGTGAGCGGTTTGAAGGTTCTGAGAGGGCGGTAAGCCTTGACTTGAAGACTTGGTGGGATGAACAATAAGGTAGTTACTGACGCAAGCGACTTGCCATGGTCGCCTGTAAGGATAGGGTCCGGATTTTTAAAGGCCCCTTCACACTCTTGCGACCGAGTAGGACTGAGAGCGACCAGACCGGTTTTTAAGTTTTTTTCGGTTCTTAGGACCGGATGCGAGGCAGCGGAGCTGGTCCTAAGAGATCGCAAGAGGCTTAAAAACCGGTCTGGTCTCTCTCGGTTGTACTCGGTTGCGAGAGTGTGAACGGGCCTTTAAGGGGTAAGGAAGCAACTCCTAACAATAATGAATAAATAAAAGAAAGAAAAAAAAAAGACATTTGGTTCACTCGTGCTTGCTGCTTTATACTCCTCTTGCATCATAGTTTTATAACTTTGACTGCGAATATTAAGAAGCGCGTCGATAGAAACAATTCCTTTATTTTTGTTATAACTCGAATGGGTGCACAGATGATAAGCTTAATCCAGACACATTGTACTCAGGCATGTACGTAACGCGTTACTAGTAACAAGTTATTTCTACCTAGTTACTTTTTTCGGCAACGAGTAACGTGTTTAGTTACTTGTAAGGTCAAGTAACGAGTGACAGTATTTCGTTACTTTTAAGGAGTAACATGTACAACAACGTTTCAGCAGCCTCGTTTTAATTATAATCAGAGTACGTGTCGATTGCGACAAAGGCAGGTGGGCAAAAAAAAAAAAAAAAAAAAACTAAACGATATGACGGTGTAGCAAAGTTTATCGCTGAACACGTCACTCGAACTCTTCAGCTGGGAATGTCCTTCACCCAGCGAACACATTAAAGGTGCCCTCCGGAGCTTTCTGCGATCGTCTGTTTATGTTGTTATATTGCGTAGTAGGTGCAAGTTAATATGTATACAAAGTTTTAGAGTACAAAACCGTTTATTAAGTAAATGGCAGTAGAAATATATCGTTACTATTTTCTCTTGAAAGACAATCGCCCATTCCCTGGCCATCGCTAAAACTTGACCAATGGAAATGCTGCATCTCGCGGTGAATGCGAACGTTATTATTGCAATACTTTTTAAGCTTGTTGTAAATTAGAGTTTGAGAAAAACGTAAACTGATTGTGGTGCGGGAAACATAGTTTGCAATTATCGTTCCAAAGCCAGCGAACTATGTTTTCTCCCCGCAAGCTTGTTGCTAGGGGGTGATGCGTCGGCGCGTCGGGTCGTCTGCTTCCCGGGGCGTGTGCAAGCGTGCGTTTGCGACACACGTGTTCCTTCTTCCCGTGGATCCCGACTCCGAAGCCAGCTTTGCGATCCTTCCACGTGAATGAGTCAAACTTTTCCTTGTCATCTGTGGAATGCGACTGCGTATTGCAGTAGTTTCTTTTATCCTTTGAGTGAGCGATTTCCCTGAAATGCCGAACGTTTGTTTCGTCAAGACGTGCCGCCATCAAACTGGGAAGAACGTTCGCAAGGGCTTGCGATTCTTCTCTTTGCCGGAGAAAGAACCACGAAGGACTGCGTGGTTACGCTGCGCCGGGCGAGGGCACGACATCGAGAACCTGCCTCTCATTCCCCGTTTTTGTGCCGAACATTTCGAGCCGACTGCTTTCCGAAAGGACGACCTGCGTCGTTCCCGTCTTCGATCAGATGCTGTGCCGACGCTTCTGCTTCCCGTCGCCGATGAGACCGACGATCCTCCCCCAAAGCGCCAAAAAGTCGTGGTGAGTTTTTCGATGGCTCAAATATTTTTGGGAGTGTCACGAACATGGCATTCTGCGTTGCGCAGTGCGGCTGCTTCTGGTATCTATATTCTGAACTAAGAACTGAGGAGGCATTTGTGTAACATGGGAATCCACATGGCATTCGTCAAGTCGATCAGTGGTGCCTAATGTTCCGGACTAGCGGTTCGAGAGCTTATCGCGCGAATGGTGCGGTGCATGGGGTTTTCATTTTCGGGTTTTATATTTTTCAAAAATCGGGGGGGTAAAAATCGGGCGCTATTTTTCCGGGCGATAATCGGGAAGAAATCGGGTTTTTCCAGAAACCATTCCGAAATTCGGATTTTTTTTCGGGATTTCTTTATCAATTACAAATACGTGCAATGTGTTATTTACATGAACAAAAGTAAACAAAATATATTATATAGGCATAGGATATGTTTCTACCTTCTGATCGGCTCTGAAGTGAATCTTTGCGGAGGTCACGCAAATCGAAGAAAATTGTAACCATCAACTGATGACCAAGGAATTAAACAGATCCAGAATGGTTCATATTTTCTATCAAGTCAGGTGATTTCAACACTGCTTTTCGGGGAGAAATCGGGTTTAACCCGATTTTCATCAGAACTATTCGGGGGAGAAAAATTAGGTATTATCGGGTTTTACCCGAAAACGAAGAACCCTATCAGCATGCACCATCTGCAGGATCGAACTCATTTGTAAAAAGAAAACACGAACAAATAAGATAAAAGGACAGAGTCATAAATCGCCTCTAATGGTACCACCATCACCACCCCCCTCTGCTATTGACCCACCCAAAGTCAATACATGTTTTCCCAGCTTGTTTACAGACAGGAACCCTTTCGTATCAGCTTAGCAAAGTTCCAAGTGTCCGTGACTACTAACAAGCAGGTTTTCTTTTATATCTACTCTTGTGAGCAAACTCAGTTTTTTTTTTTCTTCTCACAATCCTGCACCCACGATTGCGTGCAAACCCGCGTTTGCAAATTTGTATGCACATAGCAAATGCACGCCATGATTTTGTTGCTTGGTGGCACTTCTGGACACTGAGAACTCATGGCAGTTGCTGTATGTTTCCCACTTGCGGCTATAAGTGCTCGTTGGTTGCATTTCCTTCAGTGGTTGGTAAATACATGTCAAGCTGCAGCTTTACGTATGTATGTAATGTGACATCATATCGCGACATGAACATTTATTGTTGCTGAGCTAGAGACTGAAAATATAGATGGTAATGTAAGTTATAAAAACAAATATAAAGAGTGAGGCATCCCTTAGATTTGTATTACAGTGAGAGCTTTGGTTGAGTGCATGAAATTCTAAGCTATGGAAAGGCTACAAAACAATTCATGGATGTTTGCCATCAGCTAAAAAACTAGGCATCAAGGATGTTTGCCGCGGTGACGGCATTGTGTGGAGTGCTCGAGTTGCACCCTTTAATTTTAAAAATATGAAATGTGTAATAAACAGTGCCCTTTGCAGACTCAGGCCTCGGCAACTGGACTGCCTGCACCCTGCGAGGCAGAAATGACCCTCAGGGACTGTACTGCTGAAACAAACATCCCTGCAGTGGTGCCACCTGTCCCTGTCGCAGACGTGCCTGCACAGTCGCATCCACCCGAGTCTGCCTTCTCCACTTGTAGCAGTGGGGTGCCATATGAATGCACATCTCCTGTTCCCAGCAACATGCCAGACTCTGACGCAACCTACTCTCCGTCTCACAGCGAGGATTACAAGAGGTAAGTTGTGCATATAAACACATAGAATCTGTAAAGAATGCTTCACATGATCCCATTTCAGAATCGAGCATGGTGCATCAGCTCCACCACCACCACCAGAAGAAGAGCGCCAGTTTCTGGTGTTCGAGAGCTGCCTAAGGGAGCTTTTCAAGACGTGCCAAGAGTGCTCAAGACTGTGCCAAACAACGATCGAAACTACCGGCACACTGATCACAGTCTACAGCATCTGCCCTGTGGAGCACGTGCGCACATGGAAAAGCCAGCCCATCGTCAACGGCAGACCAGCAGGGAACATACTGCTGACCAGCCACCTGGTCTTCTCTGGAGTGAAGATTGCCCCTACGCTGCGGATGCTACGCCATATGAACGTGCAGGTCATCTCCGACTCGAGCTTCTACGAGCATCGGAAGGCCTTCGCTCTACCTGCAATCCACAAGGTGAGCAATATTCCGGGACACTGCAACTGCATTTTTTTCCCATATACCCAATTTTCCAATGAGGTACAAAACTGGAGCCCCAGTCACACTTCGGTTAAATGAATAAATATCTTCTTGTAGTATGCCACTTCAATGGTATAGTGCTAAGAGATAAAATTTTATACATCATGTTACATATGTGCCATGGGCTACTAAATCCACGATACTTTAATTTATTTCTGCTATGTGTAGTATCCTGGGGCAGTTCCCTGTCTGGCATTGAGTTGAGTGAGTCAGGTTCCCCGTGAGAGTCAAGAGACAGAGGGTGGTTGTCAGAATGGAAAAGGGTAGGGCAGCTTCGAGGTAACGGGCGGCCTGCTGCCTCTTTTATGAAATACACAAACATAAAAACACAAATCACAACCTAGCACAATCTAAGTCACATTCAAACTCGCTGCATTGTGCTTTCCTTTTTCTTTCACTCAGTCATTCATTCTACAACACTACACTATGCATACATAAACAGATGGGACTATTGTAGTATGCTCCATGCCTTTCTAAAGCAATATTTATCTGCATGAACAGGTCTGGCTGCAAGAGCAACAAGAACTTCTCAACGAGTTGCAGAACAAAGAGGTGGACATCTCTGCTGACGGGAGATTTGACTCCCCTGGGTTCTGTGCCAAGTACCTGACGTACACAGTCCACGTCGAGCAAATCAACAAGATTCTACACTCTGTCCAGGTCCAGCTAAAAGAGGCAAGTAGTCGAATTTACGTGAACCAGTTGCAACAATCTCATAATCTTTCTCTTGTGTTATGTCATCAGTTACTTCACTGCTATGCACTATTTTGGTAAAATATTCATTTCACACCTTTTTTTAGTCTGAACAGGCCATGGCCAGTGTCAACATGGAGAAGGAGGGCCTCCTCAAGCAGCTGCAATTCTTCAAGGAGAAAGGTATGTTCATGCTTAGTTCATGTATATCACTACTCGGCGGCCTTTCAGGCACTCTGTTCAAATTGGCATAATCACTTATTCTTTTGCTATCTTCGGAAACCTAATGGTGCAGGTATCAAGATCCGATCGTTGGTGACTGACCGTCACCCTGCCACACGAAAGCACATGAAGACGCACGAACCCGGGATTGACCACTTCTTTGACATATGGCACATCTCCAAAAGTAAGCAATCCTAACAGGCCATTCGTGTAGCCTTTATTTTCCAGCGATCACGCTGCAGGTTTCCCTGACACGACTCTGAATTTTAGGTGTGAAAAAGAAGCTGACAGCAGCAAGCAAACGGGCTGGATGCCAAGACCTGCAAATCTGGATCCAGACAGCTACAAACCATATGTACTGGTCAGCAAGGGCTGCAGGAGGCGACGAGAAGCTGCTCATCGACATCTGGCTCAGCATGCACAACCATGTCATCAACAAACACTCGGGGCACGAAGGAACCTATGGAAGGTGCCTCCATGGTGACATGCCAGAGCCAACACGACCATGGATGGATCCCAGTATGTTTTTGTTCTTCCAAATGAAGGTGGTTTTTCTAAAACTTGTATCATCCTCAGACTCGCAGGCCTACAACCAATTCAAGAGCATCACTGGCAACAAACTGCTCCTGAAGGGCCTTGCACAGATGTCTCCACATGGCCAGACATATGCTTTGGAGGCGTTCCACAGCGTCCTGATAGACTTCGCCCCGAAGTCCCAGGCTTTCAGCCCAGAAGGCATGCTTGCAAAGTAAGTCAACCAATTTACAATCACATTTCCTTTGTTTGGACACTTTCATCCAGTCCATTGGTTACAATGCGACAAACCTGACAGTCTCTTCCTAAAGATCAGATAATGGAATTGGATTGATGCCAGAATAACCACTCTTTGTAAGTGGCACACTTTACCATCACTGAAATGTAACCATCTTGCAGGACTCGACTTGCAATCCTCCATTTCAACGAAAACTCAAACCGCTGCCAAGCCGTCACACGAGAGGGCAAGCCACGTTGGTCGGTCGTAACATCAAAAGCACGAAAGGGCCACCACACAGCACGACCAGAGATTACGGATCCCACTTACAGTGAGTATAACACTAACTGCAGTGTGAATGCCTTGTCCAGAGAGCCTAGGAATGTTATCATGCAAAGGTTTGAATTCTAGAGTATGTTGGAAAGCTCATCAAGGAGGCAATGGAGAGCAGCAAACAGTGGCGGTCCCTGGCTGCTGCATCGAGGGCCAACACCGTCGTCTTCCCGGCACCGATGACTGCAGCCTACACAAGGCCTCCAAAAGAGGAACTCGTGGCAGCACGAATGTCCAGGTTCGGCCACAGTCCCCAGTAACGGCATCAAATCCCTGGTCGGGACTTCCATGCTGCCGCAGGTAAGCACACAGGACCTTGGTCCTAATCAGGGTGCAGGATAAGCAGGTGGGGAAACGGCCCATAGAAGCCTACCGCAGCGCCGTGACCGGATTGTGTACTCGTCTGCTTGCGGGTACCCCCGATTTGCAACAGATGGCGCTGCGGCGAGAGGAAAAAAATCGGAATCGGATTTGCATGGAACTTTATGGGAGAGTGCGCAAAATAAACAGAGAGCACGACAGTCTTTATTGAAAATCCACGAGAAACCATCTCCGTCAGTTTAGCCAGTCGCCCACCTGGAGTGAGAGTTTGCGGTGCTCCACATCGATGGCGCCACAGAAAAAAAGAAAACCGAGGGGTACACAATCCGGTCGCTCATTTGGCTCTCGTTTCCCCACCTGTCTATCTTACACCCTGGTCCTAATACAGCCTTGCATGGTAAGCAACCGCTTTGTTTTGCAGGACGTACGGCGAATGCAAGCAGACAGACCCAAGAGAAAACAGCCGAGCTGCAAAATGGTTCACCATTTTCCATTAGGACACCCTGACCGACAGTAAGGAGGAAGTTAGATCTGTCTGCAATCATTTTTCACAGAAATGCAGATCTCTCCTCATGAGAATGTTCCATTTTAGGGCCTAATCAAGCTGGTCATGGCATGCCTATCTCGAAACAGGGCAAGGAACTTTAGCCGGTGGCAATGTCGGAGTCACAGAAAAGTCACCAAACAGCGAGACTCAAGGCTACAGCTCAACTTGCGGTGAGGACGACACTAACTTCAGTGTGAACGCCCATCTAGCCCAACTTGGAATGTCTAGGAATGTAATTATGCAACCGTCTGAATTGTCACTGTAGGTTGGAAAGTCTGTCAACGAGGCGGACAGCAGCAGGCAGCAAAGACGTGGTTGGATCTTTCATGCTGCCAGTGGTAAGCACACAGGAGCCTCGTCCTAATGAAAACTACCATGGTAGGCAATAACCGCTTTGTTTTGCAGAACATACGGCGAATGCAAGCAGACAGACCCAGGAGAAAACAGCCGAGCTGCAAAATGGATCATCGTTTTCCGTTAGGACACCCTGACCGACAGTAAGGAGGACATTAGATCTGTCCGCAATCATTTTTCACAGAAATACAGATCTCTCCTCATGAGAATGTTCCATTTTAGGGCCTAATCAAGCTGGTCATGGCATGCCTATCTCAAAAGAGGGCAAGTAACTTTAGCCGGTGGCAATGTCGAAGTCACAGAAAAGTCACAAAACAGCGAGATTCAAGGCTACAGCTCAACTTGCGGTGAGGACGACACTAACTTCTGTGTGAACGCCCATCTAGCCCAACTTGGAATGTCTAGGAATGTAATTATGCAACAGTCTGAATTTTCACTGTAGGTTGGAAAGTCTGTCAACGAGGCGGACAGCAGCAGGGAGCAAAGACCTGGTTGGATCTTTCATGCTGCCAGTGGTAAGCACACAGGAGCCTCGTCCTAATGAAAACTACCATGGTAGGCAATAACCGCTTTGTTTTGCAGAACGTACGGCGAATGCAAGCAGACAGACCCAAGAGAAAACAGCCGAGCTGCAAAATGGATCATCGTTTTCCGTTAGGACACCCTGACCGACAGTAAGGAGGACATTAGATATGTCTGCAATCATTTTTCACAGAAATACAGATCTCTCCTCATGAGAATGTTCCATTTTAGGGCCTAATCAAGCTGGTCATGGCATGCCTATCTCAAAAGAGGGCAAGGAACTTTAGCCGGTGGCAATGTCGGACTCACAGAAAAGTCACCAAACAGCGAGACTCAAGGCTACAGCTCAACTTGCGGTGAGGACGACACTAACTTCAGTGTGAACGCCCATCTAGCCCAACTTGGAATGTCTAGGAATGTAATTATGCAACAGTCTGAATTTTCACTGTAGGTTGGAAAGTCTGTCAACGAGGCGGACAGCAGCAGGAAGCAAAGACCTGGTTCTATCTTTCATGCTGCCAGTGGTAAGCACACAGGAGCCTCGTCCTAATGAAAACTACCATGGTAGGCAATAACCGCTTTGTTTTGCAGAACGTACGGCGAATGCAAGCAGACAGACCCAAGAGAAAACAGCCGAGCTGCAAAATAGATCATTGTTTTCCGTTAGGACACCCTGACCGACAGTAAGGAGGACATTAGATCTGTCTGCAATCATTTTTCACAGAAATGCAGATCTCCTCTATTGATAATGCTTGATTTTAGGGCCACGATCAAGCGTAATGGAGAGATGCAAGCATTGGCACCTGCCCTCTCAAGCCGGATTTTTCAAGCCCAGCATGGTGCACCTCTATTGTTGGCACATCAGTGCCAACAGTAGAGGAATTAGGAGATGAGGACAGGCCAGTGCTATAATTCTTCCCAGTCCATTAGCTGTAATTAGGGTTCTGCGTTCTCAGATAAACCTGATAAACTCCAAAAAACACTAGCCGTTAAAATTTTGCTGATTCAGATTCATTTGAAAAACTCAATTTTTCGGTCCCCCACCAGTCTTTATATTTCCCGGAATCTTCGAACAATTTTTGCAATTCTCCTCTTATTGCAGTGTCAACTTCCGTTGCCATGTAGCCCCTTATAATAAAAATGAGGTAGGCCCTCTACGACAGTAGATGAATACGGCGCTCTCATATGAAAATACTGCTTTACTAAATTCACAAAGTGCTGTTTTCTACCTTTCATTTGCCTCATCGAAAATGCCGAAAGACTCCGAACTTTGCGTACATAAATGGAAGCTCCAAATTGATGGTTCAAAAAAACAAAACAAAAAAAAACACCCTCTAATTTTGCTAAAAAAAAATTAAATTCAAGAACGCAGGATCCTAGCTATAATTTGTGCAAGCTTTCAAGATCGAGGAAATCGGTGACCGTATTGTCATATTCATTGTGGGCACACCACAATGAAGGCGGATCAAGTGCTATTTTGAATAGCATGTAGTTCTGCACCAGAGATCCCATCCCCAGTTCACAAGCTTAGCCCATCGCAGCAGTTTTAGAAAATTGAAGTATTTTCGGAACCCAACCGACACTTTTCTGAAGACTGTAACACAATGCCTTATCCATCTTTCTTTTCATGTGCTGATGAGCGGACATGCTGTGGAGACTGCACCGAGGCGGGGCAGCCCGCCCGTGTTTCCAATAAATGGGGTTTTCATCCAGGAGGTAGGCTGGTAATGCAGCAATAACATAAGTGGGGTGGTTGCATATAACACTGGAAATATTAACAGAAGTTTTTTATGGCAATTTAAAAACAGTGCTGCATTTTCCAGTCTACACTACGGTTTTCCCCCCGTCTGCAACATTTGTCTTCTGTCATTATTGACCTGCTTGCAAATAAGTGAGGCACATTCGCTAACCTTACGATTGAAATAAACTGCATTAATTTTCCAACAACTTGACTTCTCGGTACCAGAACCTGGAAGGTGTAGAAATTTGCATGACCAAAAGGAAATAATTTCATAATTGAAAACAAGTGATGCCGATGGTAGTACTAATTTTGTGATCCCCTGGATGATTTCTGCATTGTGAGGTCAATACATGGGTCGATGTAACTAGAATACTGCACTATGCCTAACTAAAAACCCGACCGAAATTGTGCCATTTCCTCAAAGTATTTGCATGATGTGAGGGTATACTTGCCAATTATAACGACAATATAAACTAACAATCGTAGTATTCACTGAAATATATAAGCAGATCCTATTTACCACCGGGAGGAAAAATCCAGGGTAACTGGGCTGTGGAGGCATAGAATATTCCATGCAGGGGATCTATTGTGCATGCTCAAAAAGCATTCCACAGCCAAGTAAAAAAAGGATTTCGCAAAAGGCTTGGACTGGAAAAGTCTATACTAGAGCACATGTTGAGAGTACAGTAATGAAATGTAGGTTGGCAATGAATTCTAAATAAAAAAAGTAATACAATTTACAGCATGCCTATAGTCGGTGACAGGTCAAGAACGAAGTGGAAGCTCCTCCCACCTCTTTCCACTTTAGTAGAGCGAATGCTGGAGAGGAGGCGACCTCCTCTCCGTCGTTCGCTGCATTGAAGTGGACTAGTCACCCAAGCAGAACGTCATTTGTTTGTCATGTTAGCCACGTCGTCATCCAGACCCTCGGAACAATCGACCACGTCCCTCTGAAAACTGCAGCAATCGCAATTCGCCTTTCTTCGCCTCATCGCACCGGCACGCTCAGACGGCTGATGTAGGGAAGCATCTTGTAGCTTCATGCAGTCAGATTTTTCCATGTTATATGCAGTTTTTCCATTTGAAAGAACAGATCCAGAAGAAAGTAGAAGTACACTGCACCACACTGTTAGTGCGAACATGACATCGGTGCTTTTTCTATCTTTACTTTAAAATGGTATTAGTGGGTGCCAAATTTTACTGCTTAGGTTAGTGTTCCAAATGAGCACTTCTCACGCCCTATTAGTTTTGATGACAGCCTTTGGATTCTAGGAGGAAAATGAAGCAATCCGGTCGTGCGACTCAAATCAAATTTGGGGGTTTTACGTGCCAAACCAACGACGGGCATCTGGCACGCCCCAGCGGAGGACCGAGGATTAATTTCGACCACCTGGGGATCTTTTGACGTGCAATCGAAAGCTCGATTACCAAGCTGCCTTCTCCGCAATATACCTCCATCAGATTGCAGGCACCTCGGCCGGGATTCGAACCCGCCACATGGGGATCCGTAGGCCGGCACTCTCGCCTCGGAGCCACCGAGGCGGCTTCGTCGTGTGACTGAATGTGACGTAGGTGCACTGGCTTTGGTTTGACTACGATCATGTGATCATAGTTATGGTCACGTGATATCGTAGATAATAGGTCACGTGATTTAGAGGATTCCGTTCATGGCTACGAGCGACTTCACACACATGCAGGGAGGGTGAAGAGACAAGGGAAGGGGGTTGCGTGGTCTCTAGGTCAACGCAATTTATTCTGCATCCCTGTAGCCCGCATACACGTCAGCGGGGTACCTGCCCCTAATTGTCTTGACCACACAGGATGGCAGGGGCCGCCTATTCTTCTTTCCCAAGCGGCTCCACAGCCACAGGGCACACTGCCTGTAGGCTGCAAATCTGTAGTGCCTGGAACAATGACAGAGATTGGATGTAAGAAGCAAAGTCTATCACTCTGTTGGCAAATTCTACACTTGTTTTCATTTCTCTAGGCATGTAATCATACTCTGCTTTTCTGTTACGTCCACTCCAGCTATCACATAGCAGAATCCCTATTTGGCAGTCCATGTCGGATGGGCTAGACATGGAAGCCAAATTGAAGTGAACTGCTGTAGATTCATTCTAAATGCTCCAGAGTTTAAAAAAAAAAAAAAAACTATAGGCCTTGGTTCTCCTAACGCACCTCCAACTCCAATCGACACAACAACCAGTTATACACCGGAATTAACAAGGAAGGAATATCTGTTGCGTGGTCATGATACATAAAATAAGTTCACAGGGTCCCAGTTCACAATTGTAGATAATATCTGTCATTGGTGTTGG